TTTAAAAAATGAGATATTGTTTCTGTCTTATAAAAATATTTTTTTGTCTTCTGATAAGTATTGGGGGGGAGCAAACAATCACCACTGCATACACAAAATCAGAAAACAAAAATACCAAAGTATTCTTGGTAGTTCCACATCATCATATCCTTGTCAATATCATGCTATAAAGAAGAGGCAGGGACAGGTGTACACATTAAGGAGAATGCAAACCACTGGGCAGGAGGCCAATCAACTTAAAAAATCAAATTATATCTCTGTAATAATTGCTACTAGGCTCTCATGTATGTGTCTCTCTTATAACTGCAAATGCTATTAACTATACACCAATATTTTTATAAAATATCATAACATAAAAATTTCCATTTTTCAATTTAAATTCAAACAAATTTGCAAATGAGATATAAAAGTTAAGTTGCTCAGTTAGAATTGAAAAGTACCAAGCAAGTGGATGAAGTAAATACAAAAAGCAAAAATTACTTACTATTTCAAAAAAATTTTCTTAGTGTAAAATAGAAAATAATTTTCATGAATGAATTCTAAAATCATAGTTTTACAGTTCATCAATCTGTTGTATGCTGCCCTCATATTTAACTTATTTGTAAATACTTTTCCAAGGTTACCTAAATACTTACTAATTGGTTAAATATGCTGCCTACATTAAATTAAAGAAATTAAAGGTCCGCTTTATTTTTTTTTTTCCAGTAACTGATATACTTTCAAAGTAGTCAATGTTTTAGAAAAGGTGTTTATCTGGTTCTTAAAACATTTAAAAAATGGTCCAAGGGACAATTTATAGTCCTTTCAACTTTTACATATTCACTATCTCAAATTCTATTGGACAGATTGTTGTTTTCTCCTTTTAAAGCTCTTCCCTTATTTAAGTAACTTAACTAAACAATCTAAGTTTCTATCAATATAAGAAGAAAAATTTTGTATTTATTTATAATACATTTGGAAACACATCATAAGAAACAAATGTTTCATGCAGTGTAAGTAAAGCTATTGAGTAAAACTTTTTTTTTCCTGTTTTTGGGGGGAGGGGACAGGTAAATTTTCACCTATCTTAATTTTCCAAAGAATAGGATTCTAAATGAAAAATACTAAAATATTCCTAGAAGGTACGATCATTTTGATTATACAGCTTAAGAAGCAAATGATTATTGAAATAAAACTTCAAAGACAGTTGTAGCTCTATGTTTTAGTTACCTAGCTTTTCAAATCTGAGTTAAAGAGTATTATGTTTAATTTAGCCAACAATTTACCCTTAAAAAGACAAATTTCCAGGCTTCTAAACCAAAATGTATACAGTAATAAACAGGATTATGTTAAAAATGGATGAAAAATCCCCACCTTTGTATGATATTAACACAGCGTGCTTGCAATTTTAACTATATTGATAAAAGAAAATTCACTAATTTATTTAACTATGAGGTACCTATTAAAATGTTTTGGTTGTAATAAATATACACAGAAATATACACAGAGTTATAAATCATCTTTCACAGCAAACTCTTCAGAGATTTCTAATAACAAAATTAATCATATAAACTTCAAATAAGAATCTATGAGGTTCCCCAACTGAAATAAACTTTGTGAGTATACAATATACTTAAATTATTTCTGAAAATTGGAATAATTTAATAGCAACTTCAGAGAAAGGATGTTCAGCAGGTAGTATTTCTCAGGCACCAAAAAAGCTTAATAAAACCAATTCAAGTTAGATGTTGTGCTGTGCCTTAAGTAAAGAAAGCTCTCTAAGGAATTACAGATTCTATACTTGTGCTCTCTAAGCACATTTTCTAATTCAGACAAGTAGTTAGTTGTGTAAAATTCAAACACACAGAAAATCTCACACTACCTTTTGTGAAACAGGAAAAAACCCACAATAGCAGCACTTTTATTAAGGTTGACAATAAACAAGTCTTAACTTGAAGTGTCTGGATAACCTGAATAAGTGAGTAACTGCAGAAGAAATACTTCTTTACTTTAAAAGAAACTGAATTTCTTGATATCATCTGGTTTGTCGCAGTGGAAACTATTCAAGACCTAGAGGTCTCATTTATTCTAAATGCACAGCGTAATTCTGACTACCTATCCTCAATGTAACTGTCAGAATCAGAATACAATAAAAAGTGAGATATACTTCAAAGTTTTTATAAATATTAATAGCATACTGAAACCTCTAGAATGATGATTTGGGGGTGGGGGTGGGGATTTCTCTTCTCCATTGATAGCACAACCCATTTTCAGTCAATTTTGATTTAATAATGGTTCATGGGATTAGTTTTTTAATGAGTTCTTAGAAAGCTGCAAATGCTTCCAAAATCTGAAACCACAAGATGATGTACTCAAACACCTCACCAATGTAAGGCTGTTATGGAGCTATTTACAGAAAGGATGCAGGTAAGAGCTGAGTTGTGAATATAAATCAACATACAATGGACTACAAAGTAATAATTTGTATGTTATGGCAAGAAACAGTATTCTGTATAAAAAGTCTAAACACTCAGCTCTAATTTTAACCCACTTCTATAAGTCATTAAAAAAAAGGAAAATAAAGATTTCTTTCAGAAACTCCATATGCCTATGAAAATACAATACAAGTAATTTCTATTCAAGAGTAGCCTTAATATCTTACATATTTTAAATTTCTAAAATATGGTAGAAATCTAAAGCATTAGAGGTAATAGTACTTTATGATCAGTAAATATTTCCTGTCAAATAACACAAACAAATTAAATTCAAATGATGCAAATTGATGGGTTTCAGAATTTTAAAATCTCTTCATTCCAAAGGCACAGAATTACAGCACATGTATAGAGTGGGCTTTAAAAATGGATATACATGTAAACTTTTCCATGGTGTTGGTATGTGTGCTCTTTTTCCCCCAAAGAAATGCCTATTGCTTACATGTTAAAGAATCTTCACCACTCTGCTTTTTTCAACTAGAAGTCCTCAGTGTACCTTAAGCCAAAGCGAATATTATGCATTTTACAGCTTTTACAAAATGGCTGTAAAATCACATTATGAGTATTCATGGCTCTTTGATCTCACTGCACAGAATTCATAACTGTTCAATAATGCAATACCATTACACCACACACCTTAAACTATTTTGATTTTTCCACAATTCCTTCCAAAATCAGTTTCCAAAGCAAAGCAATGTGACATAAAAAGTTCCTGGGAGGGCTTGTTACACAAAAGAACTGCTAGGATACAAACTCATCTACACCCATATCCATTTTCTGTTTATTCCTCCTTCTCCTTCATCCCTCCTAAAGGTGGGTGCACTTGAGTCATGGAAAGGCAAGGCTCTTCCATCACCACACCCTCCCAGCACCTCTGCTTAGGTCCTCAGACAGTGATTCTGAGTAGGTGAGGAAAACCTTAAGAAAACCAAGGCTGTCCCTTTAAAATGCCCTGCTCTGTCCCATATCCCACGTGGAACCAACATCAGCAGCACTTTCCTATTAACTTCAGTGTGATGCAAGAGGCACCATCCTTTTCTATACATAAAACCAGAAAACCTCAGCTTACATTCCCTATAGAGGACGAACAGGTGAAGTAAAGTTGTCAGGGAGGGAGAAACCCAACAACTACCCACCCCTCCCCCAAAGGTACTCTCAGCTTGCACCCCAGTGTGTCTGTGCACCATCACCTCTCTCCCCCTCCTCTGCAGAGCCAACTTTAAAGAAAGGAGGGAGCCACTCACAAAACCTGAAGCGTAAATGCGACGAAAAGGCAATCTAAAGCCGGAAAGGTTTATTCTTCCAATCACACATATTAACTCTATTAAGAAAATGGCATCACTTTTTTTCCACCCCCCCCAAAAAAAATCCCCGCAAAGATCTTTAAAAGAGAGTTATAAAATAGCAAATATACTATTTATCTTATCTCAGATCAGTCCACATTACCAATAACTTGAGGAGTTTCTGCACTACCACCTCCCCACTCCCTCCCCCTCCTCCTCTTGCATCGGATTTTCACGTTTTCTCATTGTCGGTTGAGTTATAAAAGGCTTTTGCCCTTCGAAAGTTTTAAAAAAATAAATAAATATTAACTCCTTGGTCCCTGTAAAGTCAAAATGGACTTCAGGGGAAAGGCGGTTCGTATTTTTACCTTCAGCGAGAAAAGGGGGAGCATCCCGGATTTTTAGGGATTTTTTGCGATTTTTTAAAAATTTTTATTTGGTTATATGCCTGAGTTCTCCCTCCATTTTGGTTGTTTATGATACTGACAACAAGCTGTCCCTGCCCTGTGCAGATCTCCTGCTTTCATTTAGCACCCCCAGCCCCCCTCGCGGCCACTCGGCCCGGCTCACACCTCCCCGCAGACCCCGCGGCCGACCCCGACTCGCCCACCTGGGGAAAGGGCGAAAACAAATGCATTTCTCCAAAAAGAAAAACCTCTTTTGAAAAAGGGGCACAGTTACCCCCAAGTCACTCCCAGTGCCCCCCAAATATTGCCGACTGCGGGTCTCTGCCAGGCCCTTTGGGAAGCGACCTTCCCCCGGGATGTTTTGGTGGAAAATGCGGAGAGTTTACTCTCAAAACTGAATTTATATTAATTTTTCCCTTATTTTTCGGGTCTCTAATGTCTTCCGCTCTCGCTGCTGCCGCTGCCGCTGTCACAATATTCACAGCACCAGAGAGGAGGAGGAGGAGGAGGAGGAAAACTTTTCAAACTTTCCAGACCCTGAATAAAGGGGCTGTTTTTTCCCACCGCCCTCACCTTCGGGTCCCCAGCCGCATCGCCCCCTGCCCTGTCAGAGGCTACTCTCGGAGTCCTCACACCCCCGCAAAATGATTTTATTTTATTTTTTTCTTATTATTTTCCTCTTTGGGGTCCCGAGCAGGGGCTGAGAGCAGCACAAACTTTTCCTCCTCCTGCCGCCGCCGCGGCTCCTCTGCCCCCTCAGCGAGTCCCATAATTTAAATAACCCTGATATTTCTCCCGCTAAATGCCTCTCTGCCGCCCCGGACCCCGGCAGGACTCACCGCGGGGCTTCACCATCCTCCCTCCGGCCCGTCCGCCGCCTTTACACCACCCGCGGAATTTCTAATAATTTTTTTCTCATATTTCGGGCTGGACGCGGCGGGCCTGGAAATTGTTTCCTTACGCCTCTTTCCAGCAGCCATTGTAGTGTAT